GGCAACTCATTTGGCCCATGTTAATTTTTTTTCAAATTCATTTTTTCTGATTATTTTTGAGCCTATTTTCATTTATGGAGGGATTCTGCATATCTACAGGGAAATATCTTTCTAACAGTATGTGTATATTTTCCCTTCGATGCACACGAGCTGAGAAAAAAGGATTTAAAAGAAACATGCTTGCCTATTAATATATAGACACTGGTCATCCAGTGGTTGAAAACTCGACCAAAAATATGTAATGAGCACTTGACTATAGGAGACTAAAGTAGACATTCCATCAATGGATCAACTGTCACATTTTTTTTAAATTCAAAAACATGTATTTGAGTGAGCCAGTCACAGAATTCATGTCTAAAATCATATTTTCGACCTTATTTTTCCTGCTGACAAAGTTGATTGGTCATAACAGTTGCTATAGCTCATATAATAAGTCATTACATAAGTTTGACTTGGTAATAAAGATCGTTTATTCAACAGAATTTGTCATTTTGATCAGCGCAATCTGTTGGTGGCTTACATCAACTACGACTAATTTAATTTAAAACCTGGTGACAGCTTTAATATGGGGATGGAATTTCTAGTTGTAAGTCAAATACAGGCTTCCCTATTTTCACCCTACACGCTGTAAATAAAACATGTGATTGTAATTTCTCCTTTTGTTTTGATTTTCTGTTTATATTTCGTTGTTATTTCGTCACCAGCATGGCAACCCATTAAATCCATGTTAATTTTTCCAAAATTTTAAACTCATTTTTTGTGCTTAATTTTGAGCCTATTTTAATTTATAAAGGGATTCTGCTCATCTACAGGAAAATATCTTTCCAACAGTATGCGTAGATTTTCTCTGCGATGCACACGAGCTGAGAAAAAAGGTTTTAAAGACACATGCTTGCCTATTAATATATAGATAGATTAAAATTGTAATTTTGAATTTGTCGATCAGGGAAAGTTTAAAAAAATCATGGAATTGTCAGGGAAAAGTCAGGGAATTTTTCAATGTGGTTTCACTAGCCACCCTGTATTTGGATACTCAATTTCAAGAATAGGCACGGAATTCGGGAATTGGATACTGCCGGTGAAAAACATTCTGCTGATAGTGAAGATGCTAATAAATTTGTCGAGACAGTTGTTAGAAAAAGAAATTTATTAAAAGAAGCCGAAATGTACATGTGATATAATATTCCCTTTTTGTTATATTTCAGTACCGGGGGGCCGAGCCTTGCTCGTTTTGATCAGGCACATTTTATCATTTACAAAAATAGTTTTATTACAAACCAAAAACATTTAATCGCTGAAATAATATCAACTGTGTAAAGTGTGTCTAATTACACCCGTTTCATAGATCATAGCATTTAGATTATTCGCAGTACCATGACTTGAGTAATAACATTTTGTTGTTTATTAACCACTGACATAACTGTACACTTATTTAAACTGAAAGCTCCTAGTCTTTAATGTTTTGAATTTATAATGGGCAACAATAATGAAATGCTACGGAATATTGTGTTTAAGGCTACCGGTAGTGTACGGGGAGTAGAGGCCTTCCCCACACATAGCGGATCAAACTACTAAATTACTAAATGCAGAAATATAATAAACCTGTAAGATTTTAAATACCGCAGATATCAAATCAAAGTACATCACAAATCACAATAGATTCATTGGAAAAAGACGTTTGAAATATTTATCAAGTCAATCAATGCAAAAGATGAGGAGAAGCTTTATCTTCTGCATAACTACGTAAGCCATTCTATATTTGAACAAATCAAAAAATGCACATCATACACAGAAGTAATTACTCTACTGGACACACTCTGTAAATCAAGCCAAAGAATGAAGTTTTTGCAAGACATAAACTAATGATTCGTTGACAACGAACTGATGAAACAGTTGATCAATTCCTCCAATCATTACGTGTTCTAAGATCAAACTGTGAGTTTAAAGATGTCAAAGCTAATGTATATCGTGATGAGTATATCCAAGATGCTTTTTATCAATGGCCTTTCATCAAATAATATCAGGAAAAGCTTATTAGAAAATCTGGAACTGACATTAGATGAGGCTTTCTCGAAGGCCCGTTCCTTAGATTCAGCAAGGGAATTTTCAGAATCTTACACTTCAGCTCAGCTTGCATCGACTAGCCCTTCATCCCAGACAGAATCTCCCTCAAATACTCCAATCAACGCAGCCACAAATCATCAAGAAAAATGTTATTTCTGTGGCCAATCGATTCATTATCACAATTCATAAAAGTTTGACTTTCCAGTCGTTTTTTTAGTTAACTGATTAAATCAACGAATAGTTTGTTAACATGGGAGCTGAGTCCGATATTGATAAACAGCTTTGGGAATGTTTTATTGTTAATAAACAAGATGACTAACTAATACATTCAATTTTAGGAATGTCAGTGAAAAAGAGGTTATGGACTTAATGTACGGTCAAATCAAAAGCAGTGGGCAGCGATGAAATTTAAATTGAAATGATAAAAACTGTCAGTCCTTATGCAATAAAATCAATTACCCATTGGATAAATCTATCACTATACGATGGACAATTTCCTAAGTCTTGGAAAATGAGTAACATCCGGCCATTACCCAAACTTAAACCTGCAAGAAAAGTAGAAGACCTAAGGCCAATCTCAATATTACTAGCCATATCAAAGATATTAGAGAAGATAGCTAAACAATAGAAGAAATAGTGAGCTATATAAACAAAATATATTAGGTACCTAAACTTCCTTCAGTCTGAGATTAGTATATAATAATTGAGAGAAGATTTAAAGCAAAAAAAAAAAAAAAAAAAAAGGCAGTGCGGAGAACCAGTCATTGGTCGCGCCGCTTAGTTCTCCTCGTCACTCTCTTGACGTGAAGAATGCGTTAAACTCCGCCAGGTGGAGTGACATGCTACAGGCGCTCGAGCACACATTCCGCGTCCCTCCTTACATATTGCGAATGATTGAGTCCTACCTTTCAGACCGCGTCCTGCTTTTTGACACCACCGAAGGTCAGTGTCGGATCTCTGTCACTTCTGGGGCTGCGCAGGGATCGATCCTTGGACCTGTTTTCTGGAACTTAGACTCGAAATGCCAGACGAGACCCGCCTTGTTGGCTACGCCGACGACGTCGCTGCTCTGGTTGCAGGCAGAACCGTTGAAGAAGCAGAGCTTAAACTTGGTATAGTGATGCTCCATGTCAACGAGTGGATGCGGGACCACGGCTTATCGTTGGCGGTTGAAAAAACTGAGATCGTGATCCTAACCAAGAAAAGAATTCCCACCGTCCTTCCTTTGCAAGTAGGCCATGCCCAACTGGAGACCAAGCCGTATGCCAAATACCTTGGTGTTATGATTGACGGCAAAATGTCTTTCGGCGAGCAGATAAAGCGAACTGTTGACAAAGCCGCTAAGGGAGTTGTTGCCCTTAGTAGGCTTATGCCAAGCGTCGGCGGCCCCCGCTCCTGAAAACGCCGCCTAATGATGTCTGCCGTCCAATCAGTACTCTTGTACGGTACTGAAATCTGGGCCCACGTGCTGGAGAGGCGTGTCTTCCGAGCCTGTGCGACAGGCTCTCCCGTGTTCAGCGTCGAGGTGCCTTGCGAGTTGCTTCCGCTTACCGCACGGTTTCCGAGCCTGCAGTCATGGTGATTGCAAGTGTCATCCCCGTCTTTCATCTCGCGAGGGAGCGACAGGCGATCTACCGCAGGAGACCTGAAGTAGATAGAGAGACTGCTGCCAGAGAAGAACGCAACCGCAGTTTCGACCGCTGGCAGCGTGAATGGGAAGCCGAGTCTCGGGGACGTTGGACCGCCAGGCTCATTCCTAGCATCCGACCAATGGGTGGAACGGGAGCATGGTGAGGTTGGGTACTACTTGACTCAATTTTTTTCGGGTCACGGGTACTTTCGGGCCTTTTTGCACAGAATGGGGAAGGCTGCCAGCCCAGACTGTATGTACTGTCCTGGCATTGCAGACACGGCTGAGCATACCTTCTTCTTCTGCGACAGGTGGCATGTCCGCCGAGCCTCCTTGATCTCCGAGATCGGCGTCGATATTACTCCCGACAACATCGTTGGAGCTATGCTCCAGGGGGAGGAAACTGGAACTGTGTAAAGCAGTTCGTCGAGGCCATACTTCGGGATAAGAAGGTCAACCTCGATCGGCCTTAGTTTTCTGAGGAAACCAGAAGGAAAGCCCTAGGGGCGTAGTATAAAAGGCCTAGCCCGAAGTAATGAGCGAAACAGTTCCAGGTTAGTGTCCTAGGAGACGAGGGTGTCTTTTAGCCAGTAGTCTGGGGACAATGAGCCCGCGGGAGTCCGGCACTACTGAGTGGCCATTGAGCACCTCAGTGTGTGTAAATGCATTTTTACCTCCTCCCCATAAAAAAAAAGAAAAAAAGTACAATTGATGGTGAAGATTATCCCTGCATATGTGCATATTTTGTTTTAAGTGTCTTATCCTTCATTTTGTTTCCTTCATTACAATGAGCTCTGGTGTTATGAATCCACTGTTTATTATTCTCATTGCCTTTGCTGCTAGGTAGTTGGCGGCTGACAATGCCGTCACACAGCTGACAGAGTAGCAGTCGCGCAGTGACTATGACGTGTAAGCCGCACTCAAAGTTGCTTACTTGCTGTGCAACCACAGCATCGCCCAGAACAACGCCATTAAGCCCAATCTGCTGTAGAAGTGTCTCCGTGTGCCACTTATTAATACCCGGGCACGCCGAGTCATAATGCAAAGCGGAATTAGCTTGGCTATCGAAAAGAACCAAACTTCAGTGTATTCCCCCTTTTACAGAATTGTCCTCCAAGTTCACATTGTTGCTGTTATTAATACAGTGTTTTACCACTCCTTTAAATCGGCAGATAGACATGAGATGTTGTCTATCCTAGCTACTGTTGCTCTTGTACTCTGCTCTTGTTATCCCTGATTTGATTATACATGTACAATATTGATGTAGTTTATATGTAACCAAGAATTTTGAACTATATTTCACCAGATGTCTCCGTCGGATATGAAGAAGAGGTTGTCAGACTTAGGGAAGGAGGGAGATCCTGACTTGCAACCGATCCGCTCCTACGAGAACGCTGGATTGGTGCGGCTATTATACTTTTTCTGCTGTTGGGTCAACTGCAATGTAAGTTATTCATATTTTAGAAAATTAACAATGTCACTTTATACAATATTCTCAATTATCAGATTCAAATCGGCCACGGCAAGGTTTTTAATGATTGGAAAGGTATGGTAACACAAAAAAAAGTACAAAATGGATTGTTAACATTTAAAAAAATATAAAATTTATAAATATTTTCTATTACGTCAAACCTATTTATACAAATTTTTGTGTATCTTTGCTTTCTATTAAACCAATTGTAAGGTACCAAATTTTAAGGGGGGTAAAACCGTACTACGAATAAATTAACACCAGAACTTACCCGATTTTTTAACCACAATAGCCTACTCCCAGGCCTATGTGTTGGCCATAGCTTGGGCTATGGGCCAAAGAACGTAGGCCTATTTTTATTCACAGTGAAGTACACAAACACATCCACAACTACATATTTATTCATAATAGCACTTCGTTTCACATAATAAAGTTAAACTGACCGATTTTACGAATATTTAACATCGAGGACGACATAACCACAAACTGGTGTTTATTTGTTGACAGACGACAGACGAAACTAGACCGGCTCAACAGTTGAGTATTCGATCAGTTGTTGTCCAGTAGTACAGTACTTAAGTTCGCCGCTTGAGCGCGTAAGCCTCGAGCGGGCAGGAACGAAGGATTTTACTCAAAGACAGGATTATTCGTTCGTACGCCGTCTACAAAGTAACATCATCGTTACAAGACTACTTAAGCATTCCCGCCGATTGCCGATATTACGAAGGTTAGCTGTTCTAATAGTTGAACCATTTCTACGTTTTACTTTATTTTCGTTTAACGCGCGCATTCTCGTTTTACGACTATTTTTGTTCCAAAATTCGATATTAAATAACTAAATTTTAATAACTTAGTTTCCGCGTTTGAGTCTTGACCCGCCAGTTCCTGCCTGCCAGTGACTAGTGGTGGATATCGTTTATTTTATTTTAATTAATTAGTTTCGAAATTACAATTTCTCCGTTCGCTTAACGAGTAATTGTTACTTGGATTATTTTAGTTAATTTGACGTTTTGATACCCTGAGACTTGTCGTCTAAGTTCTAAATCCCGTCTTTGGCGGGTGAAAGAATCAAGTCTGGGAGTAGGCTGATTTGACAATCAGCTACGAATATTAATATTAAACTGTATCACGATAAATTCTCCGTTTAGTTATATTAATTAGGCCCCAACGACTCTGTATTGAATTGAATCGCATTGGCTTAAGATTGGATACTCGTCGGCCCATTCTAAAAGTTAGGCAAAATTCTCCAAAAATACTTTTACGAAGGCTGGGATGATATAGCTCCAACTGGGCGTCTGCAGGATTTCCTGAGCGCTTCTAGAGCTCTGAGCCTTAGATTAAATTTAAATAAATTGATCAGTCAAAGCCGTGTCAACTTCGTATCGACCCCTGGATTTTTCTCGGCTCCTTCTGAGCACTCCGGGGAAGAAATTTGAGTGTGGCCGGTTCTAGGGGTAGGCCTAGCCTGACTTAGGTGAATACTAGTTTATTCCCCCCCCCCCCTAGAATTTTGCGTCACACAATCAGCACAAATAAGAAAAAAAAAGAAAGAAAACCCATGACACTGTAACTGTATTGCTTTAAGTTAAAGCAATACTCAGCCACGGGTCTCCATTCATACCATGACTAAAATGGGGGGGGGGGGGGGAGTAAGTAGATAGGTATGCAGGTTCAAGGAATTAATAAGTTCTAACGTTCTAAGGAATGCAGCGTCCAAAAAAATCTGAAAATACAGTAAAGTGGAGGTGCCTAAAGCCCTGGTGTAGACCTCCTACAGACAGGGGAGGGAAGGCAAATGAAGTGGTAAATTGCATTGTACAGTCTAAACTCGATACAATATAACGGACCTCAACATAACAAATTCCTTTATATGATCCTGAGATTCCTGACTATCATCTCAATATTTCGAGTTTATCACTATCAGAACCTCTAAATAAAGGATTTGACCTCTAAAAAACTAATAAAATCTTCAGGTCTCTGTTGGTGTAACATGAAGTTATGTTTCAATTTTGTGTGTAATTCTCCGTTTCCTGGAACAGTAACTCATAATTCTGTTCAATAGTTTGTATAAAGATCATAATAAACATAAAGTGTGGTCTGTTGCAGTATTGTCGACAGTTGAACAGCTTGTACATGCGTCGTGATCTGATTGGTGGCATTGCCAGGCAGGTGTTGGCAGGTCCACAAATCATCTACTACTTTGACAAGAGTGTCCCGAATGTGCCGTCACGTGTCTCTACCTCCTTGCCTCCTAGATTGTCTCTGCGAGTGCTAGCCAACTATCACTTCTTGGCCTACCTCAGCCTGCTCCTACTCATTGCGTCGTTTGCTAGTGGATTTAAGCTGAGTTTGGTCATGTGTTTTGCATTTTTCTCGTGGATTGTGTTCATGGTCATCAGATGGTTGTTGGGACAAGCTCCTTTAGTTCCGTTTGTTTCTGTTCACGATATCAGTGACTGCAGACCTAACTACTCATTCGGATGATGAATGAGTGGTCTCTTAAAGTTTGCCATTGTGTGCAAAAATGCTGACTTACAAACCACGTAATGATGGATTTAAGTTATTGGTTAGGTAATTCATTTCAGGAACACTTTTAAGCTCCCAAAAACCATTGGTCGTCTATTGGAAGTTTTAATTAAATTAATTAAAATGTTCAATTGTCGCCAATTAGTTTTTGTGATCAGCAAATGTAACATAGTAGCTAAGTTATAAAAAAAACTTGTTGTTATAGTGTTTTTTTGATATTGTATATTTGTGCCAACTATTTATTGAAGTAGAGTACTGAGTAAGATAAGACACCATTGTGATGATTGGCACCACTCATGTAATACTGTGTTTAGAGACCACCCAAAGCAGTTATCTCTAAACCAAGTATACTTACTGGGGCGCAGTATTCTTTACTGAACTTACTTTTACTTTTTAATTAGTACTATGTATAAAGATTTTAGATGGAATTAAATTTTCCTTATGCCTCATTCTCAAAAGGTGTAGGCAGGCAGGGAACTCAAATCCAGGACCATGAAATTGTCGAATCTTGGGCTTATTGCACTACAGTTACTATTGAATACTTAATATTTAAACATTTAAAACTTTTTTTACTGTTGCAAATCTACTTATAAAACAGCAGGTTGTCCTTAGATTTAAAGCATATACAAATAGAATAAATATAGACAGTTAGCTGTGCTGCGTTTAGCACAAGTTCTGGTGCCAACCGCCAGGATTGCCATGTAGTTACAGCGCACACCGCTGCAGCGTCTGTTGGTATTATCCGGCGAGGAGCCGACAACGGCAGCGAATCGAAAAACAAACGGTACATCGTGGAACCTTCCTTTGACTATACTTATTCTACTTGTCTATGTTTACAGTCAAAGCTGTTAAATAATATAACATTGATTATGTTTTGAATTTAACACCGAAAACTAAATAACAATAACCCCGGGAATTCATAGTCCTACAAAATGAAAATGTGTCTATACACCTAATTAATTAGTATTGTGATATATCAGTTGTTATTATGATAATCTGGTTTACCTCACCTTATTTTGTCAAAGTTAATACATTTTAATTATATCAGATTTTAAGCGTTTTAAGTTTATTTCGTTCCTGTGACATGTCTTACATATTCCAATTTGGTATTTGTTTACAAATTTTGTTTTTTTTTATTACATTTAACATTAATTTAAATGCACATAATTTAGTCACATAGTTCTTATTATGTTACATTGCCAAAACACCACTGTGATGTCAGTGGCGGTGATAAGAACCCGCGGGCCCCCCCCCCCCCCGCAAGTTTGTTCGCCGGGCCCCCCTCTCCCAATGATCTTTAAAAACATTTTTCCATGTATTACCGCCTAAACTTGCAATTTTGCAATAAACTTGACAAGGCATCTCCCGAGGCGTCATTATCGTCTTCAATGATCGCTGAAAAATCGTAAATACTTCCCGTAGTCATAAGTCATGGAAGAAACATTATCATAGTTTACCCTGATTGCAAATGCAACCAAACCTATGACATCATTAGATAGCAGCATCATCGTCTCCCGCGTTCACGGCCCAATCTAATATTACGGCCCAATATCTCCCCGCGACCCGTCGGTGGTGACGGATAAATCATTTATCCGTAATCGCGGCTAAATCCTAGAGATATCTCTCACTAAAAAAGAAACGTAATTATCGTCTTCCGCAACCGCGGTAAAATATTGAACATCTGCGGCCACGGAGACATCGTCATATCGTCACCCGCGGGGAAATGTTCTCGTCGATATCCGCGATCGCGGCAAAAGCGTAGGCCTAATCTTTCAATTTTGTGAGCGTGCATGATCCTCACGGATATAAAAGCTTTTAATTTTAATTTTGCATTATTGTATTGAATACTGAGAAAATCGGCTCGAGCTTGATTTTCTGACTTTATGCTTGATCTCTCAAGCTTGTAGTCCATCAGGCTCTGCTCGGCTCGAAAATCGGCATTATAGGCCTATTATAAAAATCAACCGTTTCCAAAACAACCCGATTTTGAACCGATCTGATTTGGCCTGAGGCCCTTAGTAACATTTTTAGTGCGTTCAAGATCGGGTTGCTTTGGAAACGGTTGATTTTTATAATAGGCCTATAATGCCGATTTTCAAGCCGAGCAGAGCCTGGACTACAAGCTTGAGAGATCAAGCATAAAGTCAGAAAATCAAGCTCGAGCCGATTTTCTCAGTATTCAATACAATTATGCACAATTAAAAGTAAAAGCTTGTATATCCGTGAGGATCACGCTCCCAAAATTGAAAGATTAGGCCTACGCTTTTGCCGCGATCGCGGATATCGACGAGAACATTTCCCCGCGGGTGACGATGACAAGGCCACATCGGTTATAAATACGGCCCTATTATTATGCAACCAGTTTTGACTACGCCTTCACACAATCCATGAGGACAGTTCCAGTTAATGCAACCCGCATGACTGATGACAATTCTTTTACTTAGGTTGGTAGATCATTTATATGGATTGGTCAAGTAATAGTGTTAGTTTAGTTGTTGTAAACTACTTGAACTATAGGTTTGAACAATTTTCATCATAAAAAAACGTAGCCTATTTTAATTCTCATATAAATATTGTTATGAGAGGGGACCCGTGTGGCTGAGCCTGTCACTATATCGCGGGCCCGTGTGCCAGTAAAATTTACCGAAAATCCCGGTCAAGGCTCATGGGCACCCCTAGCTCGCGGGCCCCCCCGCACCGCGGGCCCGTTATCGCCGCCACTGTGTGATGTTCCTTCTACTTGTTCTACTTGTGTTCCTATTTACTTGGACACGAAAAATAGTAAAACTGTTCTCTATTTTAGTGTAAATTATTTTCATAAATATTGGTTTGGTTAAAAAAGCAAAATTAGGGCTAATATATGTTGTAATTAATGACTGTTGTAAAGACATTTGTATTTAAAATATCAAGAAACCCTCAACTCTGCTTTCTATTGTACTTCCAAAGACTTATCCAGGGACTGCAAGAATTGTCTTAAATTGGATACCCTGTAAGCAGGGATTATGTTAGTAATTAAATTTACTTGGTTTGCTTGTTAAATCTGTATTTAAAAACAATTTGGTTAATTCAGTTAATTTTTTTTTAGTTTTTGCTTATTTTCTTACATGCTGTGCATGCAAAATTAGTAGGCCTAATGAATAAAAATATTTGTTTCAAAGAAGAAAAGACTGGTATCAATTACTTAAGAATTAATTTAATGTAAATATAGTGCTTTGAAACAAAAATATTTTTATTTTTTAGTAGTAGTATACTGTATATTTTCTTTGTACATAAAAATCATCAACCTGTCATTTCCAAAAATGTTTCATAGTTGTAAAGTTTAAATAAAAAGTTTTATATAAAATTTGTTGTAATCATTCTGCTTTTAGATTTTTATTTGAGATTGGTAATGTTCTTCCTCTTCACTAATTACCAAACCAATTAGGCTTGGACAGTCTGGTTTGAAAAGAAGTAGTAAGTATTATGAGGTCCTTCCAGAAAATAACAGACTTTTTTTTATTTTTAGAAGTTTCTATCGCTTTTAGATTTTGTTCCATTGTCCCCACATGTCTCATCTGTTTAACACACAGAGCATAGAATAAATATAGAGGCGGCACTTGCCGTCTGGAGTGAAGCATGCTTCTCGTACCAAGATGGCGGCCGTCCCGGTCTGCATTTACATTTAAACCATTATAATGTTACCAAGGAAACCACCGATCAATATTTACTTTTTAAACTCTCACCTCAGAACTTTGAAAGCCTACGGGGCAGAGTCCTAGGTCAATATCGAAGGGGGGATAGTTCTAAATGTATCCTCGGAGCGGTAGCTTCATCTAGTTCATAAAGTAGCATAGAATAACACAGTGGTAATGACGCTGTGTTTTCCAAGTTCCGAGGCCGACTCTCTCACCAAGATGGCAGAAATCGGTTTCACTACTGGTATAGCTGTAGGTATAGGAGTGGCGACTCTATATTTATTCTATGCTCTGTGGTTTAACACCATTCGTTTTACACTATTTGATACTAACAAAATTAATTAGATGAAAATATCGATATGCTAGAAAAAATTAACAAAAGAAATATCTACCATCAATTCTAGGCCTATAGAAATTTAAGGGATTTTTGATGCTGTGAAAGAATGCACATTTGATTATTGTTTTTACTGCTTTGATCAGCATTTAAAAGAATACATTGATCATACTATTGTACAAAGTACCCAATTCTGCCGTCTGCCAGTTCAATTAATTCAAGTTCATTGTTTGTTTCATTGTTTTTTTAAATAGATTGAAATTATAAGAAACATGGCTAGAAGTACTAATTCTAGCTGTGACCTTTTCAACTTCCTTTCTCTTTTGGTTTGGTACGTCATCTTCAATCAAACTCATTTACTGTACTATCTATATGCACGAATTTCCATCATGAACCCTAGAATCACACAATCACAAACAAACAACAGAAATAGTATATTTCATTTATAGGACCAATAATCGACTTTCAGTTGCCTCACACAGGAAACTCAAATTTCAAGTGTGAGGCAAAGCCAAGCATGTGAGAAGTATTTTCACGTACGAGGCGAAGCCGAGGATGGGATAAATGGAACCAGTACCGGAAAATAACTTTTGGTATGAGTTATGAAAGATACTTTTAATCCCAACGCAAACATACACACTACAGACCTCAGTAATATGAACACTATTATATTTTTCAACTAACATTCAATACATCTCCATAAAAAATTTAATTGTCCATAGCAAACCTACTTAAAAACTTACTTTCTCGTCATATATTTCCTGTGATTTCTCTCGTGGAAGGTGTTAAGTTAGGCTATATCTGAAGCTTTTTTCATAAAATCATTAGGATTTTTAGACATATTTTGAGCAATTTCTAAAACGCACTACAGTATGCTAAAACACTAAAATAAACTAATTCATGTTTCTGTATACATTTAGATTATTGTGCAACAATGATAACAGCTGATTTAAATCGTTAAATAAACCATAACAAAACACTAGCGCACGTAGAGGTGGTAAATAGAGAGCTAATCGAGAGCGTGGTAAATTTAGAGAGAGGGAAAATCAGCTGATCGTTTTCCCTGTCTCTAAATTATAGCTTGAGAAACAACTATTTTCTTTGATATCAGCTTTTATCGAAAATAGCTAGTTTCAACAAGGAGAAAAAATCATATTTTCTTTTAATTAGAGAAGTTCTTTCTATTTTAGAGTACTTAATTACCTCTCAATAATCACTTTAAGATATTTGCCCTTGTTTCTAGACTTTAAAATTGTCATAGTCCAGTTAAAAATTGAAATTTCACTTTTTAGCCCTAGTCTTTAAAATTTTCATAGTCCAGTTAAAAATTTAAATTTCACTTTTTAAACTGAGCGTATCATTTTACCCCTAATTTTTTACAAATAATAGCCTATGGGTTAACTTTTAAATGGCCTAAGTGAAATTTGTGATGGCATTCTAATTCTTATGCTTTAACGTATCGTTACTTACCTTAAATTATAGCAAGTTTTTTTGCTGAGACATCTCGCCAGTACAATTTACAAAATTATTTGTCAACACTTTCGACCCCTGAGTTGTCATACAATTTGCTTTATCAAAGATTTATTGTTTGTATTATTTATTGTTGAGTAAATTGAATAACAACCTCTGTTTTAAACTTTATTTCCATAAAAGAGTAACTGATACTAGAACTTACTAAAGCATTTTCACCTCCTCATAATTTGCTTGTAGTAACCATAACAGGTAATCAAGAAATATACATCCATTAGTAGTTCTGTTGTTTGCTTAAAGAAGTTGAGGGCTTTATTATCAGTCTCAAGAATTAAAATGAACCGGTAAGCTGTCACCATTACAATTTTAAAATATGATAAAGATATGTATGTAAACAAAAGCCAAGAGTTTTCTAACACTGCTCCAAAAAATAAAATCAAGGCTAGCATAAAAAAATATGAATCCCACAAAAGTCTGAAAACCAAAGGTATATCTTCACTGGGACCAAAGGTATCCTGCGGCCAAATGGTTTTGACAACCTCGTAAGCTATAAAGCCTCCTCTCATGATGAAATACACTACAGCAACAATAAAACATCCTTGTCTCAAAGTAAAGAAACAGAAAAATGTCTTCATTGATTACATTATCTTGCAGTCTTAATCTCACAGTTTCAATTTATCTTCCTACTTTAAGCAATTTTCTATAAACTTAAGTCATTTTTTATTTTCAGATAACTGTGATTGATCAACATATAGAGTGTTAAATGCAACTAGTAGTTAGTCCAGTTAGAATGATCTTTTTATTTACCAACAAATATTATTTTAGTATAAGAACAACATAAACACATTCTGGGGTTAAATAAACACATGTAGTAAAAATTAAACACAATTTAATAAAAAATTCAAATAGTTACCAGCTGTAAGCAAAGCCAAAGATTGAAAACTTACAATACCGGTACTATAATTTTAGCGAATTTCCCTATAGGAAAGTAGCTATTACCGTAGGTGGCACGGTAAGACCTAGACCCGGGACCGATGTACTTTTTTAATTTTGATGTCCCTAGGGCCCAAAAACACTATTCGTTCAAATTTATATAAATGTATATATATTTATATATGTGTGTATATATATATATACAGGGTGAGGCAATGAAAGCGCCCCAATTTATAAATAGTACGAATTCAATACTATTTACCCTATACATATAAATAGCACATCATAACACAGCTTATCTTTTGCCATTTTTACTTAACAAAGTAATTTTTCCATTTCTTGGAAATAAAATCCTTTAAGTGACGTCCTTGTCCTACTTGACATTCCTTTTCAGTCACTTTAAAATGCCATTGAATACTCCTTCTAACATTTCTTCAAGAATCACTTTAGTTTCTTGGAAATTCAAGAAACTCTCTAGGGCAACTTTGAAATACCTTAAATTTCAAGTAGCTTATAGGGAGAACCACCAAAGAAAGCAAAGAGCCAACGTAAAGCTTCCAACAACGAAAGCATTCTGACAAAGCTTTTTTAGACTTTGAGTTACTGCGACTCGCACTCTTTCAACATTTGCTGGTGTGCAAAATGTTTTGTGGTACCCACCGTTTATGTTTATGGTTTTAGCTGTTATCCTAAATAATTTTACCCAGTTCCCTATAGTTTTCCAATCTGGAACAGTGCCATATTGAGAAAGTATGGAATCTGGTACAAACTACCGTATTTTACAAATAGGTTCCTACATCAAAATCTCAGTGTTACAAGCCTCAGGTACAATGTTTACTAAAATGGCATAGCTTGATTGATGTTATAAGCACAGCTGTTCATTCAATGTTGCTTCACTTATAATGTGACAACAAAAGAAAATCAGGGTGCTCTCACTGCCTCACCCTGTATATGTATATGTCTGTGAACACGATATGTAAAGATATCCCCGTCGCAGCAAACCTGCAGACTAAGCGAATTTCCATTAGCCTGATTGGATTAACACTAAAATGTCTACTTAAAAATATAACATTTATTTCCTATTTAAATAGAATTAGTTTAACAAGTAGGTCTACTTAGGTTTGCTGCATCAGGGAGGGTAAAACTGTTCTTTTTTTGTAAAATGTTAATAGTTGGTAAGAAATAAAACATTTTCCAAATTTGATCAAAATATGTTCATAAACAAGCAAACTACAACAGTTTACTTGTTCTCTATAAGAATAACATGGGAATTTTAAATTTACATTTTTTTACCATTAGGCGCATAATAACGCTTCAATATACTAAATTATTTGTTTTTTTAGGTCTACAAAATGTTTAGGAAAGAAATTGCTAAATTTTAAGTTTTCAGGGTCAAAAATGGGAAAAACCAATTTTTACCCCATAAAATCCCCCATAGACCCCTGTTCCCATAGTCCGATCATGCTGGTTCGCGAACTCGTTCAAATAAACGTAGGTTTACACTTTTGTACCAAATGTCATCAAAATCGAATGATTTTTGCTCGAGTTATCGCGCTAACGGACACATATATAAATATATATATATTATATATACAGGGTGGTAAAAAAGTCCCTGGACAGTTGAATATTTTAAAAAATAATGCAGATAGAGCTATAATACTTGGTACAAAGTTACAGGGCATAAAACTCTATTTTAACACATATTCAGTGATCCAATAACCCTTCAGGGGGACGGCCCACAAGGAGTCAGAAGAAAATCTTAAACGGAAGCATAGGTCAATATGCACATCAAATTAAAGGTCTTTTTTTTGTAGAATACAATGCCGCAAACCGCACTTCAAAAGGTTGATCCTGCGCAAAATGACAGTTGTTCAAAGATTCATTTAATTTACATTGC